CGGCGGGAGTGCCACCGCGCTCCCAAGCGGCGCACTGTAGCAGTGCGCCACCAGGCCAGCCCCAGCACCTTCTTTTAAGTAGAAAGAAATAGTTGTTTTAATTTTGAAATTATCACAACTTTGAAAAAGGAGAACTCTATGCTAATCTGAATTCCCAGCATTATAATTTAATGATTCTGTAGACCAAAAGACATACATAGGGGACCAGAGAAACATTTTTTCAGTTTTAGTATCTTGAAAATCTTTTTTGATCATTACAGATCAAATATTCATTATTTTTTTCTGGTGTACTGATTTGTACCTTTCTTTTTAAACATTCCTTTTAGGAATGCATGTCTCAGCATTAATGGGAATCACAAAGAAATTTCAAATAGCCATTATATTTAGGATTTGTTTGAGCTTTTTAACTTTCTAAGATTTATTTGCCAAAGCACAGAGAGAAAAATACCACATGTCCTCACTCATAAGTGGGAGCTAAGAGAGAAAGAAGGAAAGAAAGACCACAGTGGTGCATTGGACTTGCAGAGGGGAGAGCATACCTGGGGTACAAAGTGGAGTGGGGGGAAAGGGAGATGGGTAGGGTGGTCAGGGATAATTGGGTGGGGGACTCGGGAAATAATCATAATTTGTGGTATTGGACATGCTGCCAGTATGGATCTGGCCGTTACATCTTGGGCATGAGTGGTGACAGTCAGCTTTGTATCCCATGAATATTCATAACGAATAAAAAAAAATTAATTTGCCAATTTATGGACCAGACTTATAACAGTTTGCTGCAAAATTCAATTTGTCATATTGACAAAGAGGACCTAGCCTTTCTCAAGTTGAAGTACATTCTGGCATCTGCTAGAGTATATTTTCTCTTATGAGCCCAGAATATTGTATTTCATTACTTCTGCTAGACACAGTGTACTACTTTGACAATTGGTTTAAAAGTGAACATTTTCAATAGGTTTGATACCAAACTACAGTGTGACTGATGTCTATTTTCTTTAAAATTCTGTAGTCACCTGGCACAATATATACCCAACCTTGAACTCACCTTCGAATCATAGAATGTCTTTAGGCTGAAAATACTTTAGGAAAAAGATTTCTCAGTGTTTGCTTTAATGGAATGCTGAAAACCAAAAGACATACATAGTAAATCAGGGAAATCTGGAAGTTCTCAGCCATCTTTCTGAATAAATGATACATAAGCAGAAATATTTCTAAGGAAATTTTTAAAAATCAGTTGGCTTCCCATAAGCACATTGTACTTAGGAACTTTCAAGAACTTCACTGTAACTAGAAACTGCCTAGTAAGATGGCATTTATAAATCTTTGTATCCTTCCTCAGTTGTCGTGTTCTGTATAAAGTATTCAGTATACCCTGATGTGAAAACAGAAAAGCAGCAGAACTTTATTATTTGATATGGAACTAGACAGTTTTCTGTCCTTTTTTCCCAGGGCTGCCAGTG